AAAGACAATGACGTTGATGACGATGATGGTGATTTGAAAGCAAATGAAACATTTGCATTCTTAAAGAAGTGGTCTATAAGACAGAATGAGGAAGACCACCGACGTAAAGTGGATGAGTATATGGATAGAGGGATGGATAAGACAGCGGCCGTAGAAAAGGCAGATAATAAACTATTATCGAAGTATAAGGAAGAATTTATGAAAGGATATAAACAATTTGTCAAGCTAACAGTTGATGTAAAAGACAATGCGTTACACAGAAATATAATCGATTCGATAAATAATATGATGAGGAGGGGTGTCTCTGTGAACTTAGCCATTAGGAAGACGCTTTTAAAAAACAAACACAAGTTTGATGAGGTCTTTATAGAGGATACAGACCAGGAAAGTAGCTCTGAGGAAGAACCGAGTGAATCCGAAAACGAGGCTGTTGAATCAAGCACTGAGTGATAAATATTAGTGATTTTAAGAGAGATCATCATTAAGGAGTCAGATTCCGACAGTGTAAGATGGCATATCGAGACTATTTAAAGAAATTATACTTTGACAGTCGAAATTCTGGAGCTTTTGCTGGACCAGACAAACTCTATAGAGCTGTACTAAATGATGGGAAATACCAGCTGTCCCGTTATCAGATAAAGAAATGGCTGGACAATCAAGAAGCTTATGGCCTACAGAGACCTTATAAGAGACAATTTACTCGGAACAAAGTATATGTTTCACATATTGATGAACAATGGGATGCTGATCTCATGGATATGTCTACTTGGTCAACAGAGAATGACAATACGAAGTTTATCCTAGTCGTCATTGACATCATGTCCCGTTTTGCCTGGGTTAAGCCTCTACCTAACAAGACGGGTAAAGCTGTTGCAGAGGCCTTTGATGACATCTTCAAAGAAGGGCAGCGTCAACCAGATGTCATTAGAACGGATAAAGGTCAAGAATTTCGTGCGAGGGTCGTACAGACATTGCTGGCTCGATGGGGAGTACGCCATTTTGTTACGGAAAATACACCCAAAGCCAATTTTTCCGAGCGTCTTATAAAGACATTGAAGACGAAAATAATGAGGTTTATGATATATAAACAGAACTATAGATATATAGACGATTTGCAAAATGTTGTTAAAAGTTATAATGCCACCTGGCATAGGAGCATAAAGATGGCTCCTAAAAATGTATCTAAAGACGATGAACTGGCCATTTGGTGGCGGATGTACTATCCCAAATCAGCTGCTGTTAAAACTAGGTCAAAATATATATTTAAATTTCCCATTGGAGCTTTGGTTAGAATTACCCAATCGAAACATATTTTTACAAGAGAATACAACGAGCATTGGACTGGTGAAATTTTTAAAGTAGCGCAACGTTTCATCAGACAGGGCCTTCCACTGTATCGTTTAAAAGATTTTCAAAATGAAGACATTAAGGGTACTTTTTACCAAGCAGAGCTCCAGAGGGTACAAGCAAATGAAGATGATATTTGGAAGGTGGAAAAGATCCTAAAAACCCGAACAAGAAAGGGTCAAAAGGAACATTTAGTGCGTTGGCAATATTGGCCTAAAAAGTTTGACTCGTGGGTCAAGGACTCTGATATAACATTTTTGTAAATATTGTATAGAAATGTAATTATGATGTATATCATGCTGTATTATATGCAAATAAAATTTTATGTGTGTTGAAAGAATTCGTGTTATGTTCATAAGTGAAAGTAGAGAGACAGGTGAAGTTGTTATATATAACCATCCCCCATTTCTCATTGAGACTATAGTGTACCTAACATGATTAACATAAATTTGGTCAAAAATTAAAAAATGAGCCTCTCTAAATTCCCCAATTTTAACTAAAGATTCCTAAAGATAGATGCTTCAAGAGCAATTAAGTGATCTTGCATAATGTATTCATGATTCGAGTGAGACCAATGCCATCGTAATCCTTATTCATATGATATAAGGCTATCAATATGGCTACCTTTACGTTTCCTGCCAAAAATATGATCCACTTGCCCAGGCAAAGTTAAAATGGTTGAACTTCCTCTATGAAATCATTAACCTGCCCAGACCGAATAAAAGATGGCTAACTTCCGTTTTAAAACCTGCCCAGACCGACTCAAAGATGCCTCACTTCCGTTATGATGTCACCTTCTTGCCCAGACAGAATTCAAAATGGCTGACTTCCTGTCAGAGAGCTTCAAAATGGCCGACTTCTGGTTAAATGGCTGACTTCCGGTCAAAATGGCTGACTTCCTGTCAAAATGGCTGACTTCCGGTTTTAACTGATCAGCCGTGATCAGCCTGAGCTGATGGGACCAATTTTCCTACTACTTATACTGATCATGAAAACTTTGAAATAATCAACTTGTTTATGTAATAACTCACTTTAAAGGATCATGACTCACTTTAAAGGATCGTGTTTATAATACACTACAATTACTAAGACACGGAAGCAAGCATTTAATTAAAATGTGCATAATCTACACGTGCAGTTGACTGTGCATTCTCAGTCTCTGGTTGATGGAGCTTTTCTATATCGGGAATAGTTATGTTCCATTAAGTACAATTTAAAATTGATTTTAGTAAATATAATAGTTCGACATGACCCTTTAAACTATACGTATACGTATAAGTTGTACTTTTACTTTTGTGCGAAATCTCTCTAATAAGAAAACTGTATCGCCCTTATACGTAATACGGGAATAACAAACGTGCTTCTAAGTGAGTTGCGAAATCTCACTAATGAAAAGGCGAACAGACTAATGAATGCAGTCGGTAACAATCTTACACCTCATCCGTGTGAACCAACTGAAGGATATATTAATATGCATGTACTATTATACACTACAAAAGAAATATGAAGGACAGGAAAACAATCAATTTGTATAGACATATCGATTTGAGGTGCAAGCCATGGAAAGTATATTTCATGTAAGAAAGTCAAAACTGAAATAAAACGATCTTCAAAGACTGAACATTTAATTTCGACTTGTTTTTATATAATTATTTGTAGTTGCGCTTAATTTGATCGGAAATGAAGAAAATATGACGAAAAAATATAATCAAAAGCGATAACGATTAATAACGAAATGTAATTAGCGATACACCCAAAAATCAATGAAGCTTAAGATACCCTATAGAATACCACCTCGCCCCAACCATGCCTAAGTGTTAGCAAGACGGATAATATCCCCCAAAATTCAAATTACAATTTGCAAAAGTGTATTGATTGTGTTTATGGCATAATGCGCTATATAAAATCTGCACTGAAAAACAACATAATGTCTTTGTTCCGCTGTAAAGATATGATTTTAGGAATACGTATAAAGAGATGCTAATGAGACTTCTCCGTGGCATTTTTTCTTTATTCCTTTTTGTTTTGATTTTTTGCACCATAACATTAACTAACTACTCAATATGCAACAAAGCAATGCATTGTTGCATATTGCATTCAAAGCAAAAATACTTTTCAGGGGGAATAGTTTGTCCACCTGTAGCCCTTAGGTGTAGCATATTTTTCTAGCCATATTTTCCTAGGCCTGCTGGAATACCTATTTCAGTTTTCCCATTGATCATAATTCTACAATATGTAAAGTAACACATATGTAAGGGTGCCAGTATGTAGTCCAGTATATAGTAAACAAAGGAGTATTTTGGTCAACTCAATACATCTGATAAACACTACATGAAGTGTTTTCTATACACTGATTATATGCAGGCACTTATTCATTGTTACTGCGAATTTCAAAAGCCTCCAAATTGTGTGGAATAGAGCATGCAATGTTTTTCAGTTTCAAGCAGGTTTAGTACATTCTGGCCAATTGTATTTTCAGACTTATTCATTTCATGATTATGTAACACTGACCTATTTATCTGTTTAGCATATCTTTAAAACGACGAACTAGAGCAATATACCCATAGAAACGGTTGTGTATTTATTCTTTTCCCAAATCAATGGAGTATAAAAGTATCAAAGCTAATGGTTCAAATGGTATCACTTCACCATGCATTATTTGCCGATTTACTACTTGATCAACCTCATTGTTGCACCCAACAAACATCACGATTTTTGAATTAAGTACCATATGGTATAGCACCTCTAAAGGATTCATAATGTTCCACTGTATATTATCTTTCACTATATAAATTGAAGAATATCTCGAAAAATAAAGGTAGTTTAATCACTTATTTGTCTAGGTATGATTTATTTAAACATTATCCCCACCGCCAGTTATCGCTAGAATTTGTATATTCCTTCACGCAATCATTTCCGAACGTAGAATTGTAAATCTGATCTTCGCGCAATTTTTAATTTTACTTATTCAACTATCAAACGAAAATGACTGCGTTGGTACAGCAATTTCGATGATATCTTAAATGTTTTGAATTTTAACTGCATATTGGACCTCTTTTGGCCGTGTTATTGGCGGAGGAATGCCAACTTTTTGTGCAATGAGAACTTTTCAGATTGTTAAGCCATACGAAAAAGACGCCTATCGAGATCCAATATATCATTTTCATTTAGTTGAGCAGAACATAGATTTTCCTTCAAGTACTAATGGAAATTTGAATATATTGGCTGATAAATAATGCATTCTTTGAATACAAAGGATGTTATCCTTTGATACGTCGCTTATGGACTTCGAGGCAATTGTCTGTCCCACATCATTTGAGACTAAATGATTTTATATTGTATCTACTGTACAACAATTTTTGATGTTAATGCCTTTCGCTTTGGCACTTGAGCATATATCATAATAATGTTTCTAACCCCACCTTCTCGTTTGACCAACCAACGGTATATATTAATTTTAGAACCCCTATCACAATCAAAACGAAATACATTATCTTAATGAAGTCAGTACTATCAGATGGTATGCTCATTTTTGGATCAACTCATAGACTAAAAGGAGTTAACTGTATTTTGGTCAATGGACTGAGCATCCAATATAATATTATTGCCCTTCAAATACTGTATTTACAAAAATGTGATTTTGTGTTTTACAGGATGAAAAAGAACAATCGTGTACAACTTATGGATTTGCCGATATGGTGAGTGTTATATGTGCACGGGGTCGTCGTTAACCAGCATGGGCGGAGTAATACTTGATAAGCGAGTCGTATTCAGTGATATGTTGGTTGGATGGCGAGCGGGTGTGTCCTGTGTTGTACCAGCTTCAAACATTTTTGACTGGCATAATGTCTGATAATCAACACGCAGCTTTGAATAGTAGTCAGGTTGACAACTAAACAAGCAATACTAAATAGATATCGATATATACCAAAATATATCATCATTAATCATAATAGGCCTGTAATAATAGGTATTGTGGCTAGCATTGTCCTAACATTATCTCTCAATTTGACAAATGCATTATGCATGTTTCATTGTATATCAATTTTGTGATAAAACGTAGAAATTGGCCTAGTCTATTTCTTTGTAGTATTAATTTTGCATGTTAATTTTCTAGTACTGGAGAGATCATCGACTTTCATGGAATATATCTGAATACAATGGGCTTGAAGAGATAATGTTACCAGCTCGATCTGTTTGGACACCTGACATCAGTCTGGACAACGGGTAATAACTAAAACATAAACTTGCTTTAGTATGGAACGGAATATCAAGCCACTTGACAATGACACAATGTTTAAATGAATGAAAATGAATGTATTATTGACAATATCATACTAATTTCCAAAAGATACATGTCATCGAAATATCCAAAATCGAACAGTTTAATTAAATATAAAAAATGTTGATATACAATGTTGATAAACTGTTCCCAATAGCCCAGATGCGGGTAGAAATAATCTTGATTTACGTCATTAAAAATTCAAGATTCAGTCAAACTGATGTCATATTTGGAATCTACATGTTTTGAAAAGAGTTTATCAACTCTGAAAATTTAATTTTCTTTGAAAATGTGACTTCTAGGTCGGGGAGATTCCCCATAGAGCCCATGTTGTAAAATCACAAAAAGTGAAATATCTTTTCTTGTGTTGAGCAGATAAATCTTTTTTTACTGGACATATTTTAATTTGTATAACTACATTAGATACATAAAGGTAATATGAAAAGTGAACCATTAAAACTGATGCATATTCAAGTTTAAGGGAATTTTGAAATATCCTGCCATGTTAATTCTCCCGAATCAGCCACCTGGTGGTGAAACTGGTAACTACCTACTCGCATCTGAGTCTAAGTGTCCTTCTTAACGCCTTAACTTGAATTTATCTGTGAGAAGGATTGAATTGTTTTTACAATTATGTCATTGAGAAAATGGATGACAACTTGAATTTAACGATCTTGGCATTCATGTATAGCCTTTGCCAACTTTATTTGACAAAATAAGATGATTCATAGAAAAAGTTAAGTCTGCAAATCGAAATTATTGAAACAATATTTTTGAATGGCTTGCAGTCTTCAAAATATGGACCTGCAACTTGTAATTGGTTTCCTTCATTTCATCAAGTCCTGACAAATTGTGAATATAGCTTATGGCGGAATCTGTATCATACTTTTTTAGAATTGAAGAAGTTGTTGACGAAAAATTGAAGAACAATTTTCAAGTCATCGTCACGAGTGAAGGACACGTACAATGGAGTCCCGGGGGTATCTTTAAAACCCAATGCCCCATGGATATCACCAAACTGCCGTTCGACACTCAGAAATGTGAGATTAAATTCGCATGCTGGACGTCTTCCGGTTCCCACGTGCTTCTCATTAACGAAACAAGTGAAGTTTACCTCGATGGATACGAAGGAACAGCTCAATGGGAAATTATTGGTACATCTTCCACTGGCGGCTCTGTGTATTACGACAGCAGCCCTGGTGTGCCGTATCCATACGTCACATTCTCGATCACACTAAAGCGAAAGCCAAAATATTATATCATGAACATCGTCGTTCCAACAATTCTGATTTCTCTGGTAGCGTTGATGGTCTTTCTTATGCCACCTGAAACTGGAGAGAAAGTTGGTCTTGGAATTACAGTCATGCTGAGTTTCTCAGTATTTCTACTCATTCTCAATGAAAACATGCCAAAAACATCGGACGCCACGCCATTGATCGGTAAATGATAATATCAAATGTCAAATTCATTCAAACACAGTAAATTATAAAATGTCGGTTATAAAATATGTTCTCAGCGTAACGTTCATATAAAAAATAATTAATAAACGATATAATTGTACTTACAGGAACTTATGTGACACTGGTGATGGGTGTGACTACTTGCTCGATTGTTACGACAATAGTTGTGCTGAATGTGTTCTACAAACATCCTCGTCCTCCTCCGAAAATACTTCGAGTCATATTTCTGGACTGGTTGGGGCCCCTTGTCTGCCATACCTGCAAGAACGACAGAGATCAAAAGATGACCGACGCCGTTGATCTAGAGATGAAGTCCCACGACACTGACAGTTCATTAGGCAAAGAAATGGACGAATATTCTACTCCATTGAAGTCAGCGAAAGGTGAAAAACTTCACAATGGTACTGGAGATACTAAGAAAGGAAATGATATGGTTGTTGTAAATGGATTAAATGGTCATGATTCGGAGGTTGGTATACACACCATTACAATTGATGATGCTAATGATGATCCGCCACAAGAGAATATGCATACAGGTCAAAAACAAGCTGAAACAAATGAGGAACACCATGGGGAAAAGGTGTGTAACGGCAATGCCAATCACGGGTACCAAGCTTCGCCTGAACATAACATCCTCAACCAAGCGGCCGGTACAAGGGACAAGTTAAACGTTGCAAATTACCGTGATGACAATGAGATGCAAAACAGAGACGACCTCAAAGAAAACCTTAAATCCGATAATGCAGCTATTGAACATTCAATGGCGGTATCTCAGGAAGGTAAAGGGAATCCCAACAACGGAAGATTCTTAAAAAACCAAGGTGACTCATACAGACGCCGGTTCAATCATAAAATGCCCTATGATGATACACTTAGCACTGGATTCCCATCAGCAAGCAGAGGTAACACTCTTACAAAGTCCAAGAGGAAGTCGATGACTAATCGAATGGAGGACACCTTAAGCATTGCTTCAATACCATTCGCCATCGAAGCAGCTACCAAGTATAACGATCACAATTCTCCGTACAGCGAACAGGCACTTGCTGAGTTGGTGAAATATATGAGAACTATAGCAAAGAAACATATCGGCGAAGAGCAACAAGTTACGTGGACAAATGACTGGCAAGATATTTCGATTGTTATGGATAGAATTTTATTCATTTTCTTCGCAATTGTAATTCTTTGTACAATTTTATCATTTGTATATATCATTCCTGAATTTTACATGTAAACAATTTCCGTTGTCCGTACTCTTAGGCTTGTACAAATTGTAAGGCTGTCTAGAATAGTTTGGAAAGCTATTATTAAATCATCTTTATGATATAATATTTAGATCTATATACTACTTGCTTATGTCTGGAACCCTTTTTAAGTTATATTTGGGTCTGTGATAGTTATAATGATTTAAATGAAGATGTCATATTGACATCCTTTCGTTCGAGCTGACACGTGAAATCTTACCTTAGCAATACAGGTACAGACACCATACTTATACTAGAACATGTACATCTAGAGATAATTTACATGCCATAGTTTACTGAGAGTTCATTATTATTTCCAAGAAATTTCAGAAGATTTGAGCCATTTACAAGGTAATTGCCCAAACAAATGTTGATCCTTCAGTCATTCAGTATGGGGTTGGTGTCATATTTGGCACAATTAAACATGCGACTTTATTTTATTTTCAAGCTATAAAATACCAGCGTTGTGTCTGGAACCTAACTTGTTCACTGCACAAGCACAGACATCTTGTGCTTTGGCTCTCATTTTGCTTCCTTCTCGTCTCGTTTCAATGATTCAAGGGTTGTTAGTTTGGACATTAGCCCCATAGAAGTATCTAGAGGGATTCAACAACATTTAACAAGGTTTAATTTAATCTTAGATATGATTTTAAACTCATGCTGAACGACTGAGTTATTATTTAAAATTATGTAATCCTCAAATTGGGAGACAGTAGTATAGGATACAATTATACTAAAATAGTAGATTTGAAGTCCTTTTTAAATTGTTTAATTTTACTATGTTATTTTTATCGTGATTTGTTGCATGCGCTTTCGTAGCCTCTTACATTAATCTTAAACTCATTTTACAAAGTGATTCCCTATACGTATCCGTAACAAACATAAGTACATACATTGCTCTATAGGTTTACGTATATGCTTACGCTAATCTTAAAGTCCCTATTACTAGTAAGAATAGTATTGGTCTGTTTACCCCCCTATCACACCAAACTAGTTCTTACCCGTTCTTGCCAGTCTTATGAAAACGTCGTAAAACGGGCTCAATCTGGCTGTGGTCGGGAAATATGTCTGAAATAATTAGCTTCTTCGTTCTTAAACAGTCTTCAATACGTCCATCTCGTTCGCAGTTCGTCCGGGTCGCACTACGTCGGTGTGCAACGTAGTAGAACGCGTCCCTTAGTCTAGAAGGTCAACATGACCTGATTACAGAACGGTATGGTCGTCATCGAACTTTGAATCGATTCAAAATTCTAAAATCACATTCCCGTCTAAGAACGATCATAAAGTTCGTAAATAGACCTTAGAAAGTTGCAGCTACGACCATTCCGTTCGCACACAGTTTAAAACCAGTTTTGAAGAACGCAGTGGCAACTTGTTTGGTGTGATAGCTATATTTTTGCTAACACGTTCATAAGCAGTGTTAAACACGTTCTAACTCAGTTTAAACCAGTTTGCAATTAGTTCTACCTCGTTCTCAACACGTCCTCAGACAGTTCAACTCGTTGTTAAAACGTCCCTAGTAGGATTGAAGTACGACGGTTCCGTTCGTAGTACGTCCAGCTCGTCGTTAGTACGTTGTCACTCGTTCTAATTGTAGAACGTGACGACCACGAGAAAATTTTGAGCATTGTCTAAGTTCTAGAGGACCTACCCGTTCGAGTACGTTCGATGAAGTTTGTAAATAGATCCCAAACGGTTCTTAGTAGGTCCAGTCCGTTTGTACACAGTTGAAGCCCGTTTTCGAGAACGTAGTGAGAACTAGTTTGGTGTGATAGTAGGGTTAGCCTCTTGAGACTAAATATAATTTGTCATTCGATAAACATGTTGTACATTGATCGATTTTGCCATTGTTATGTCTTGATGCAAAATCAGCTACGATGCCGTGACTTGAGTTCCTGAAATATATATATGTGCATGACAGCTTGTAAGCGTGTAGTTACTATCCTATATTATTTATGTTCATTGAGCAGGTGAAAGCATCTATATAAAACATAATAGTGATAAGATGAAGTGTCAATAGACAAAGTACTTTAAAACTATGTTAATTATTGGTATATTGTGTCCACTCAACAATATAAAAACCTATTTTATCTTATCAATCGCAAAATATATCATAAGAAGAATGTCAAATATATGTTCTGTAAATCCATTGACATTATCAAATAGTGGCACTGCATCATAAGCAGTTAACCAAAGTGAACCACAAAATTGACAATGGCTTGGACGTACGCATCTGTTGGTTTTCTTCTCTGGTGTATCGTCAACACAGTTGGAGGCGTAGCCCTGGTCATTGCTCGTCAGTCGCCGCATAATCGTATCTGTCTCAATTATACAATTTATGTTATAACACATGGGACTCTATCTATTATATATATGGTACAAGATATGGCGTCGATGTCGAGTCAGACCAAGAACATTCTGGTTGGTATTTTTAATTTGCTGCTGATGTTTGCTGCAACGTTCCATTTTCGGATCGGAACTCTTTTGATGTTTAGGGGGAAACAGAAAATAACACGCATCTTGTTCCTCGGCTGTTGGATACTAATGTTGGTTTGGATGCTAGCATTTTGCATTGTGGTGTTTGGTTTTGGACTTGGACAATATGGATTCCTCATCCAGTTCATATACTATTTCATCTGTGCCACGTTCATGATAGTTTCCATACATGTAGCAGCCGTCAGAGTATATCGCGGACCCAATGAGATTCAAGGAGTTTATTCAGTCCGTATGGAAAGCAGCTCAAATGTCGCACATGGCGTACAAAGTGAACTAGTTGATACAGATGAGCAAAACCAACCTGGAATCATTTCTTGCATTGGAAGAAGCAAGTTATGGTTCTACATTGGTGTACCAGCGGGCTATTTTGGATACATTAATTTCTTACTGCCATTCATCAATGCACTTGGTGCCAATATATGGGAGGCAACATTCGTAGCTAGAACACTGGACAGCATATTTTACGTACCTCTTGTTATCCCATGCTTCCTTTGGGTAGACTGTCCCGAAAATTATCACATTGACAAAAAGCCATTGAACGTTAAATCGTTCTTAGTACACTAATATATGCATTTTCCTCATTTGAGCATGACGTCTCTCCTCTGGACCATGAGGACGGTCACTACGTGCCTAGTAAATACGTTCTATATTAATAGCAAGCTATCATTCATAGATGTCATTTTTACGTGAATAAAACATTATTTCGGATTTTTCGGCTTCCTGCTTTTATTCTTTTTCTTGTTGCTATTGTTATCCTTCTTTTTTCTCTTTGGGGAATCACCTCTTGAAGTCGAAGACTTGCGTTTACGTTTGGGGACGGTATCAATATTATCTGGTACTTTGCTGTGGCGCATTGTAACACAACAATTCTTCACAAACCCCTTTACTTTATTATGTTTATTCATTTTCAAAGCGTTCGGCCCTAAGACTTGACGTTTGCTAAATTCCTCCCTGATCTTTTCTTTCCATGGGTCGTCTTGCTCATATTTTATCATATTTTCTGCTACATCTTTAAAGCTAGCATTATTATATGGGGACTTCAGTACAGCCATGATGACGAGGGAGCAGATGTGCTTGCCAACTCTGAACAAAGTCTCGGCCTGGCTATGGAGATCTGGCTCCCTCAGAGAGTAGAACATACCTGCCATGATATCATACACAGCGCCTGTGAAGACTCTGGAGAGACTGTGTACCTCATTCCCGGCCTTAGTAAGGTTCAGATTATTATCTGCATTTCTCAAACCCAGCTTGTATCCTAGTCCTTTCCCGAATTGTTCACCTATGATCGTAAAGAAGAATTTCTTGTGAAGGTTACCTTTGGACTCGGCAATGATCGCTTCGCATATATCCATCTGGTCAAGCATAAGAAATATGCACGTGAGATCCCCAAATGATTCGTGGAGTGCGCCAGTTTGAACGATGGCTTCGTCGTCATACCATCCGGGTCTTAGACTATCCAGTACGGCGTGGCCAGTCTCGTGAGCAATGATATCAAACGATCGACATGTGTAAATCATTTCTTTGTTAGCATCATCTCCAGGGTAGAAAGAGAAGAAACATAAAGCTTTCCAGTCTCGATTGTAAAATGCGTTGTCCCAGTATCCAGCGTTGGGATGGATTGTAATTGGTGTTTTACCCCATTGCCACTCTAAACTTTGAGATATTTTCATCCGACGCAACGCTCGTTCAAACATCGTAACAACTTGTCTTACGACGGCAAAAGTATGTACGGCATCAAACTTTTCTAATTCTTTCTTGGGACTGAACATCAAATCTCCCTTTTTATTCTTCCCAACGGTTTTCACACCCTTCATCTTCGTAAATGTACCGTCGCCATTGGAATATCTAATGGGTTTGTTGGCGACGACAATCTTGTCGTCCCGGGGTCCAGGTTTCACTGGAGTGTGTATGTATGATGTCCTGACACCAAGTTTGGACACACTTGGGTCCTGCTTCCAAACCTTCACCCTGCAACCGTCCTGTCCCTTCTTCTCTGACATTATTTGTTCTTTGCCAGTATTATCTGGAAGAATATTTTGGTAATTGATTGATGTATCAATTATTTATGTCATGTATCACAACCTACCTACATGTAAATTATATTCAAATTACAATAAATTTAAAAACACAAACATCCAAGTCTAGTGTTAAAGGTTGCTTTGATGAAGTACATGTACATTTGTCTTTCAAAATGTCGTCTCAGACTGTGTGTATTGCCATCCTAGGTATTGCTTACCTTAATAAAAAGCTTGTTTTAGATTAATTCTCCCCGGCAAGTTATTTCAGTCTCAGCAAGTCGACTCAGATATCCTTCTCAACTGTGATCATCCATGGGCGTGTGCCAGAAGCTTAATCACAACTTGAAAACATTTGGATTAAATGTACCTGTTCCTAGTACATTTCAATAATAACTGGGGACGCCGCTGTAGTTCAAATCACCTGCAGCTATTTGTGAATGGAAACACTTTAAATGCAGATGTTTGCTCGTCGTATAAACGCTACTTACATTCTGTAGCTGGGTAACTTGAACTGCTGAACTCATAAAAAATAAACATGGCTATAAAGTTCCGCACGCCTTTAAAATGCTAACAAAAGGCGCTGAACTTGACAGTGTGAGCGTCTTAATCAAGAACGCCATCTTTTAAATAAATGTAAATCGTAAAGCGTAAGTGAATGGCAACAAGTTTGATGTACCGAGATGGACTTTGAATCGAACAACTTTTCTGTTCATACATTCATTCCGATATATATTTGTCCTACTGTTTGGTCCATCCTTCAGGATTGGGCATCGCTGACCCAGCTCATGGAACGATCCAAATACCCTTGGATCAGAGACTATGGTTCGGTGGAAGAAATGTTTTTGTGGCAAAGGGAATCAAACGCGTTCTCAAGATCAACAGAGCAAACCTTATAAATACTTCATTATTGTATGTTCATGTATGATTTGCTGATCATGAAGAACAGCAGAAAATTAGCTGCACTAGATATTTTATATTATTTATTTTATTAAAGTGTCACCTCTTGTACAAAATAGCCAGCCCAAACTGGGCTTATGAGACACATTAAACATTTAATTATTAATCTTATATATGTGATTCTTTCTTATATTAAAAATACAGTTCAAATAGTTTGCAAATTTTTTAACAATACTCTTGGTTTTAAATATATCATATATCTATAAATGAATCAATATCTGGTGTTAAAAATGAGAGTTTCTCTAATTTATAGGCATTACATTCAAATATAAAATGTTTCTCATCTTCAACTTTATTTAAATTGCAAACATGGCACAGTCTCTATTGCTAGTGGTAGGATTCCACTTTTAAGTTGTGCTATAAGTGAACTTTGTGATAATGTTAGTTGACACTTGACATAAATTTCAGCTGTGGGTCCATTTTTGAATGTAATATATATGCGTTTATCTTGTGAAGTGTAATATCCCTTTTCCATTTTTCTGTGTGGTTTGAAAAAAGCCTTGATTTAGCTGTAGCCAGTCGGGTATAGTCCAGTGTTTCAAATTTATGGGATAAATCAAGTTCGAAACAAATATTTTTAATGTCTGTACACCACTTTCCATTTATGTTAACAGCATTTTAAGTTCCATTGTACATATTCTCTATGGCTTTCAACATTTTTCCACAAATACCAATTTTTTCAATTTCACAAATAGCAATGTTCTATCGATTTTATCAAAACATTTTTCCAGGTCAATATAGCAAACAAATGTTGAGAGTCCGGGATCCTCTATCCTTCCGACTCCTTATTATTAGTTGTTAAAGTAAATATATGGTACATACACGAACGTGAAGATCTAAATGCATTTATTAAAAAGAGTAGTTAATAAGTTAACAGACAGTGTATTTTGAAATACTTCAGATGGAAGATAGTCAATTCCAACTGCTTTACCCTTTTTAATGTTCTTTATAACATGATTAAGTTCATCACAACATATATCTTCATTTAGTTCCATGATTTCATCATTGTTCACTTCCTCATCATTTAATAAATCATCACTGTTTCTCAAATCACTTTGTATTATACTCATTTTCACTTTCATATAGTTTTTGGAACTAATCTCTCCAAGTTTGCAATACCTCATCTTCATCATATATTAGGGTTCCATCTTCATTAAGTACCTCCATTGGGATTTCACAATTACGACGTGGGCCTAACGTATTCATAGCATCCCAGAATGCCTTTGGATAAGTGGCAAAGAGATTAATTTTGTTTGAGAAATTTCAGGGAAAAAGACATCGTGATATTCTTTTAGAGTGACAAATTTATGAGGAAAATACAGGGTTGCCGGTTTTTGACCACCCTGTATTTAACTATAGTATATAGCAATCATAATATAACGGCACACCTCATATGATTGAGTGATATCATTGGCTAAATCGGTCACACATTTTGATAAAATGATAATAATTTAATAAATTCAACGCGACTGAAATACGATCTCTGTTTAGAGTTCCAAAGTGTAAGGTCTTTGTAAAGTTAGGTTCAAGTGCTTGTCAACAGACGGCTTTGATATAACATAATTTATATGTCGTGTAACAAATGTAAAACATATTTGCGCTTTCTTATTTGTTACTTTTATATCCAGTTATGGGATCAGAGAACCTCCATTAGTGTCAGGAATTTGGTGTTCGCTTCATAAATATTATTATCTGAACTGAGTTTGAGATGTTTGAAATGATGATTATAGTTATCACATTTGATTCATCTCATCGTTTATTCATTCTGATTCTGATTCAAGTTACCATGGAATTACCGACTGATTTACAGAAATAGAAACATCTGCGGAGGTTCTAAACATACGTGTACATAGAGCCATTGACATATGATTCATGGAATATTATATTTCTATATATACTTCGAACTTATTGTGTAAATACAACAACAAAGATGGACGCGTACATGTCAGCAATTATCGGATGGACCGTGACTATATTTTTATTTATCTTGAACACTTGGGCGATTTCTTCTACTATTCTCCGTTTTATTGCCAAACATGACATTCGTGCAACTTCAGAAGGAAGTGTAGCGCCGGGCTGGGAGAGAGTGGCAGAGGAATTCAGGTGAGCGGTTTTAATTTGCCATTTTGTTTTTGTAAAACAGGACGATCATTTGTATAGATCTGCTGTAGTAGACCTAAAGTAGAACCATCCTTAAAGATTGGACTTGACTGCCTCCGCTGAGAAGAGAAATTCCATTGAACTCTAGGATGGCCCAGAGTTGTTATACAGACTAGTCTATTAAAATAAAGAATAATACATAAAAATTAGTGAGAAGCAGAACATTGAATCGTAATATTTATAAAGCTAGTAATTGTCCTTGCACTACCCGAAAAGACTTACATTTTTGACGTGTCGGCCACCTTCGGTTGCCATCATCAGAACCTTAATTTAACTTCCGGTTTCTCTTTAGCACAGGCCCCCAACAGTTATTCAACTGGAAATTTCCTTGGTCCCTATTCATGTTGTTGATTAGTTTAGTAAAGACTGCTTCTTTTATCCACCTATCCTGTCCTGTTACATTGTCCCTATCTATAGTACAGTTACTGGAACAGGCCGAAACGTCAAAATGTAAATCTTTTCGGGAAGTGTAAGGACAATTACTAGCTTTATGCATTAGATAACCTACCCAATGAACCTCTTCAGTGAAATACGTATTACAATTAGTTCTTTGTATAATTTGATTATACACATAAAATATATTTCATTTTATTGTTAGAAAAAACCTGAAATCTGGTGATGAGAAAGGAGGAGCTTTCGCAGTGTATTACCGTGGTAAAAAGGTAGTAGATATATGGGGAGGATATGCAGATATTCATGCAAGGTGGCCATGGCAGGAATATACTCTCACACAGTGCTTCTCCATCACAAAGGCATTCGTTGCTATAACTGTTGCTCGATTCGTGGAAAGGTAAAACTATAGCATCGGCGTTTGGCCCCCGGGCGTTTGGCGACGGCCGTTCATCGAGCGAGCCATATGTCCTTTCTTTGAGCCACGTCCTCTCTTTTGGTCACACCCTTTCTTTGAGCCATGTTTCTCAATTCTCTGTCAATGAATTAGTCATCGCCTGTGCCTCGTTTGCAACGTATGAAAACTTTAACTTTGAAAGAGGTAGCAAAGATGCAATGAAGAATATATCAATATTAGAGTATTTGTTTGTGGACAAACTTTAAACCATAGATAATTATACATGCCATTCATGTATGTTAGGCCACTGATTAAATTGTAGTATTTCATGAATGAAGTTAATGATTCATTGATACGTTGTACACTCAAGGGGTCTACTTCGCTATGAGGACAGAATAGCAAAAATATGGCCAGAATTTGGGCAGAATGGGAAAGGAGATATTACAGTGAAGGAGCTGGCGACTCATACAGTAAGATAAGCATATTATTATACCCAGTTAATCTAAAAATAACGTTATGGACTGATGTCACAAATATTTTTTTATTTGAATTTATTACAAATTATTATTTTCGATACAAATACAAGTAGCGGTTGTATTTTGTAGTATTTACATCCACGTAAATAGTTGTTTCACAACTTTATATAAACGTTTTCACTCTCCGCCAGGCAGGTGTTGCAGTGATAGACAAGTTGTTTAAATTGAAAGAAATTAAGACGAACCCCGACAACGTTGAATATGCTCTTGCCAGCCAAAGACCAAACTGGGAACCAGGTACGCTTTGACTTTCGATTCTTATGAGTTTGTTTCTCGTGTTTTTTCTTATTCTTAACACCCTGCAGGTTGTACACATGACTTAAATGTTCTTCAATATTTTAGGGAAAGCCCAAGGTTACCATGCTTTGACATTCGGACTTTACTTTGATGAGATCATCCGACGAGTGGATCCCGAACATCGAAGAATATATCAGATTGTACGAGAGGAGGTAACACAGCCATTTGGTAAGCAATGACATAACAATAATTTGGTAAGCAATGAGATAACAATAACGTGATGACAGTGTACAAAAGAATTATAAATGAAGGTTTATTACATGAGAAACTATGTCAGTCTTATCATAAATATAGTGTGTAATACCAAATAATGTAATGCCCCAAACCCAGAAAGGTTTCATGAACCGTGATTCGTGAAAAATCTATCCATTTTCAGGACTAGATTTTCAAATTGGTTTAGCGAAAGAAGAAAACCACAGATGTGCTCGAGTTGTACCTTTGGAACGTGGGATCTGGTTCTATTTCTCACACATGTGGCTCCCTTGGAAATACCAGAAAATTCTTTTTTCGGCAATAGTCCGACCATTTTCGTATACGTCAAGAATAGGACAGAATCCAGTTGACTTTGGATTTCCTCCAGTAAGCTTAAGGTCACTCGCAAGATAAAAATTGACGAATTTTAAAATCATAAATATATTCAAATGACATCTTCCTTTGACTGATAAAACTGTGCCAGAATATGCGTCTTCCAATGTGCTGTGATATTTTATTACTGTATCATTGGTAACGGCCTCCATCTTAATTCACAGGGTTTCCGAGAAGTGTTTTAACCTCATTAGAAGTCAAAGATAGATGGCCTCAATTAAAAGCAAGAAACATATTTTCAGATTGAACGAGCGAATCACCCCGACAGACGAGCAATACGAGCAGCTTCTTCCCATGGATTCGGGACCGCACGGGCAGTTGCTAAATTTTATAGCATTTTAGTGAACGGTGGAAACTACTTCGGAAGGCAATTGCTCACTCCTAAGATGATTGAAGAAATCTCACAACCGCACAGTATAGGACTAGATAAGATCATACTATCAGAATCTGTATTTGGATTGGGTCTTAGATTATTTAGAAGGACATTTAAAGGAGAAGTATGTATTTATTTGAACCTCAACAATGCCAAAAAGTTTCCATATCGTTATAAAGTCTTGATAATTTGATAGATGGCAGCACTATAAGTTATGATCATCCATTGCATTTTATTCTAAGTACAAATAATCTTTTTATTTTCGCGTGTTTTGATCATTTATTCGTATTATATTACAATACCTACAAATTGTTTTACTAATCCTCCAAATGGTTTTCATGGTCGCCTAAAATTTAGCATTGGTGGTTTGTCTTTTATTTCTAGTACATACAGCTATCCATTGATTTTTCCAGGATCGTTTCATTTTTGGTCACCCCGGTTACGGAGGACAGATGGCTATGTGCGATCCCAAATACAAGCTGAGCTGTGCATATCTCACAAACTTTATATCAATGCAGGGCGATGGGGACGATCCTCGATATCTTAGCCTTGAAAACGCAATGTATGAATGCGTTCGTGATTTAGAGGGACACTGACATTATATAGTGGATATTGTTGTTATGCAAATAAGTAACTATATTGGCTGGAGCAATAGATGGAGCCACAGTGGACATTATTCGCCTCAGCCCATGGGCCAAAATTTCACTGTGTTGCCCTTTGTAATGTGGTCATTGATATATTAATATGCTCTGGCAGTACCAAAATTCTACCGTTCTTATCCCGGGAGAATTTTAATATCTAATAAAATATATTAGAATTTAAAAGGGGATGTCCGTCTTTTCAGAATTATTGTCACATAACCTTAAAGGCGAAGAATTAACATGAAATGAAGACTGAAATGAAGTTTGTTTTTTAAATATCCATGATATGAAGTTCTGTGGGCAAAAGAAAATTTGCGAAATTGGGAAAATATTCTAGACACTCCTAATGCCCTGGTCACATTTGCACCGATTTTCACTACGGCGCCCGGCCGATTGAGTATTTTGTTCAAAATTGAATGCAATATTGAACAAAACACTCAATCGGGCGGGCGCTGGCCGATGGATTGGAGCAAATGTGACCAGGGCATTAATCGTAGCTAGTCTTTTTGTACCTTTACAAACACAGACATACACAGACATAATAGATTTATCAGCTAAAATACATAAACATACGACACAAATATTTACAGATAAAAAATACCAGTTGTATACTTTCTTTTGAAAGCTTTGATTGCACGCACCATTGACCGGTTGTTTCAATATTTACCAATACACTTAGATTTTTACTTAAAGAATCATGATAAGTTAGTACATAATTTGATGTTGAACCCTCACATCCTGATACCTTCTTATCAATTTAGAGTTTCCCGGATGTTGATTACGTAACATACATGTACATTTGACTTGATTGATCTGTGTCGGATTAAAATGTGTCCGAAAAATTATGAAAAAAAGTTCAGCATCCTTTAGAGGTTTGCTAGCACCGGGTCATCCATCTTCTGCCAATGACATCAAATACTCAAACCAACTGATAACCAAATGACACAAGAAATGTTGATATGTAATTGATCACAAATACGGTGAAACAAAGAAATGGAATGTGAACTTAGCGGGGAACTTAGCTTTAGGTGGTTGTAAATTGTCCCCTACGTTGTCTAAGAACTACTTATACACATATCCAATATCCTGTGAAAGTTTCACATATAAAAGTTGCACCGAGTTGGTCAATAAACATGATGTTTCGACACCATACATTGAAAGAATCGATTCGGATGTGGAAAATACAACAATATGTATTTTTACACAGTGCCTTAATCGCATCGTGGCAGATGACATGCGATTATAAATTGCCTTTAAAATAACGATCAATTCTTAAATAGTTTTAACTGACATTCATTAACTTTGCTTAATCTTTAATAGTTTTCGTTTGTTGCAGTGCCATTATGTAAATAAAGGTTTTGTATTCCATTCAAACATTACACTAGTCCTTGGCGAAGGCATTTTCTGTTTTTCCATGACGGTCCCAATTTTAACAATTACATAATGATAAATATAAAAAATTGAAACTAAAACATTGGCTATTCATATTCTTCTGTTACGCCGACGACTAAATGACATCAGACATGGTATTAAAACTAGTGCTGGTCTCTGTTGTAATGATATCTTTTCAAAATGAATTTGTTGAGGGTGCTTGTCACCAACCTGATGCAAGTTTTCATAAAAATGAATTTGTAATGTTTTTTTTCATTTTGCCATGATGCTGGAATGTTTGCCTTGGATCGTATAGCCTTCGTTCATGACATCTCGCGGGATATGGGCTAGAAACAAATACAGTCTTTTGATCACTTAGAGTAACTGTTACAACTGATTCAAAAATGTTCTCATCTTTAAAGGTAGAAATATTGGAATAATCAAGTTCACTGTAAGTACTTTTACATACAAATGCAAGGTAGGTAAATGACACTTCGATTCCTTTTACAACTCCTTGAATCAATATCAACAGCTGATGAAGTCATTGTGATTTAAAAAGGAATTTGCTTCTATAAACGCTCTATACAGAAAAAAGCAAGACTTCTTTACTTTCTATTGACAAAAAATAAAAGAGCTGTCAAGAATATCTTCAGGGTAGGGTAAAGAAATAGTGAACAAATAGAACTATAGAGTTACTATTGATCCGCACCCAGGCACTGCTCTGTACTGAGCAACCTAACAAGTGACATTGAATTGTTTTTATCAAATATCACGTAGCCGTTCGTGCACATTGCCCAACTGCGACACGTTCATAACACTGAATCATCACGTATTGTGGTGTTAACTGTTTATGTCGATGCCCGCACATAGACTGACTGGAGGACTGGCGCCCACTCCGGTCAACAATCTAACTTCGTCGTACGACTATCAAACTAAGACATTATTTTGCATTGCTTGATTTGTTTGTTTGGGTGTCTCTTGTTTTTTTATAATGAGGAAACAATTTTCTTCCTTTTCCCTTCAGGTTTCATTATACGATTTGAGAAACTTGCATTTTTGACCATGATGATAGACAATGTTCCTTTGAAAAGTATATGCGCGTGTAACCTAATCTTCGGTCACATTTGGTCTACGGCGGTCGTACGGTTGCCGAAACTTCACAAAATCGATGTAGAAAATCTACATCGTAAGGCTTATCCCAAAGTTGCCGTAGATCAAATGTGATTGAGACCTCATGGAGGTCAACATTTATTGTCAAACTGAATGTTAATCGGCCGAATGTAATCGGATAATCTGATCATATATATTAAAAACACAATGAACCCCGCTGAGATAAACCCTTAATGCTTGAATGTACTTCCATGTAGAGAAGAAAGAGAATAATGTCTTCCAGAGAAAACACAAAGGCAAACACGAAAAACACAAATTAGACTGGCGATGAACTGGAAAATAGTCTGTTAAGTTTGACATTGAACATATAAGATGATTACTTGATTGACAAAACTAAGCCGCAAAGTGGAGAGAAGAACGATCGATTATGGCAAAAATATGATTATTTTCTTCATCCCCGGGAAAAATCATTGATTAGTATACAACCTTCTCAAATATATTCTATTGACGGCCAAGCTGTGTTTAAACTTCTTAATGTGTTTTAGGTAACGATTTCCATGATACATGTGCTATCCATTAACTTGGATTACCAATATATCAAACCTGGTAAACGAGTATGGATGGAAAAAGTTGATGTCATTTACTCTTAGATGGTTGGGTTATTTTGTGAGATGTATTTCATGATCAGTGACCATGAATGTATGTTCTTTATGGAGTGGAACCGTGATCGGTTTGACATTTTCAAATACGTTATCACGACAGTTGATAGATTGATTGATGATATATTAAGTATACAAAAAGGTACCTGAGTTTGTTTTTCAGAATGTAGATTAAATTATAACTTATCAAATTACGCAGGAATTTCGTTTCAATAGAACGTTAGCAACATAACGATTTTACAGTTCGAAACAATTTCTTCTAAGGTCACTGTAAACTTCAGAAATCCATATTCATATCGAGGAAAATATTGACAGTTTGCTGATTACGGACATTGTGTCACAATGGATGCGAGCCTACGGCCTTCGAATGGACTGTATACACATTAAACCCCTGTTAGTGCCAGTGGTCAAGGCGTTTGCCATTGATGTGGCGCTAATGGTATAATAAATATTCTAATAATATTATGTAGACAAATATGGCTTCCAAAACATTGGTACAAACATTCACATTAATGGTAACAATCATTCCGAATTTCAAAGAATGAGATAATGTAAAATTTCAAATGTAGAAAATGTTACGTGTATTAACAGGGCGGGGGGGGTCCTTTAGACGGAGATCAAGTCGGATTATCACAATAATCTCCACTTTAATCCACTCAAAAATGTATAGATTGGGAATTATATCAAGCAACATGCGGGTTTATTATGTGATGTTGTAAGAGACCATATACATGTAAGTATTACCTGATGTTGATATCTGTTGATCTTAGATAGTTCCACCCAATCGATATAGACAGGTGACTTTAAAAGACGATGGCTGATCTTGAAAAGTTATAAACTAATGTCTGTATTTGATGTCATTGTGTATATAGTCAAGACAAGCGCCCCGGGTAACACAAATACTCAGGGTCAGGTCATTTATTTTTGCCCCGTCATTGGTAAATAATATTAAATACCCAATGTAAATATTGATTAATATCGAACATCTGTAAACATGAAGATAAACAATCGTATCATTGAATAGCTGAATCCGGTTGTTGACCACATTGTGAAAGATACATTGACATTGAGATTGAAAGAAATCATCCCAAACTTACAGACCGTATATATTACGATATATTGATCATGACATGATTTATTGAGCATTGACTTACTTTTCTTCATATCTTAATCAAAGAATAATTTCATTAAGCATTCAATTCATTTCAAAAACGTTTACTCTATAAGTTCTTTCCACAATGTCCCACGAAATGAGCTAAAGCTTAATTTTGGTAAATAGGCCCGAACACAATCGCTATTGTACGTATGAGAACGCAACACGAAACCAATCTTGTTAAGAAGGCTAAGGGCACCTGCTTTAAGTAATACTTCTATTGTTAAAATGATGGTTTCCATTTCATTGCAGAACATGAGCAGTCTGAGTGATTGTTCTAGCGCATGCGCACAACACTCTTTCGCTCCACTATTGTAGTATTGGATTGACAGAGCTCTTGAGAGCAGTGAAAGTGTGAAGAGTAGATCAGTCTCTTGTCTAAGGATCGGGCTACCCGATACTAAGTTAGGAATTTCAAGTTAAAATTAGAAAGGAAAACACTTGCGAGAGCTCAGACGCTTTTAACTGTCTTATACATACAATGGAATACACACAATGGAGAAAGTGGAAATATTAAGTTGAACGTCTGTAACCTGTTTGATGTGTGAGTGGACGCAAATGAAAGTGTTAAAATGGTCCGTAAAAAACTAACTCGGTTCAAGAGCCAGGCTTAATGCCGTGGATTTGTGAAACAATAGGAGTGTATGTAACGGTCAGAGTTTTTGATTTGCACTTGAAAAACAATGCCTCTCGACCTTCAAACAAATATTAAATTATCGATGATCGCCGATGAGAATACATTCGTTGGTGTTACCTTATCTTAAACACTAAAAGTAGCGATAAATCAGGATCTCAAAAGTAAGCTGTTGGATTATCGAAATATTTTATCGGCTGCTAAGAAATCAAGAACAGATTTGTTGGGACATTTCTAATGATGGATTATAGTTATTGATGTCTTAGTAACAATGATCACTATTCAGAACAAAAATTCAACGAAACTACGTGACTTTTAAATTATTTCCAAGTACGACTGGTGTAAACAACTAAAGGCGATACAAAAATAGACAGCTAGTGTTTACACTTATATAATATTCGATATAAGGAACGTTAAGTGGATACTGACGTACGTAGGCAATTAAAAATCTATAGAGTCTATATCGTTTATACTTTTCACAAAGGAACTTTGAGTTGACTGAGCACACAAGACTAAAACAAAATGCAATAAAATGCGACCATGGTGCGGAATAACATGAGTGAGTTACCTCCCATTGGAAATCCTTCTCTGGCGAGTCAGTCGCCTAGGGGCTACGGGAAATCAAGTAGCAATGGTTCCGTTACGCCACGATCGGCTCGAGACCCCAGCCCAATAAGCTACCTGGGGACTCCTAGAGTACTAACACCACGATCTCAACAGAAAATAATGCTTGCAGTCCCTGGATTACCCACGAAACTGCCAATAAAAATTAAAACATCAGAACGATCAGAACAGATCTCTCTGGACATGAAATGTATAAGAGACGACACTGGTAAAAGAACTTCTCCATTAGCCAGTCCAAAGAGCATGCAAAGTAATAATTCGGTGGCATCATCTAATTCTAGTACAAATGGGACACCTAGACTTTCAAATCGGGTCAGAAACGCTGATAAAGCGACACCAGGACGGGTATTGCACAAATCAAATTCATGGTGCGCTGAATCAAGACCTTCTCCAAATCAAAAATTAGAAACTTTGTTCGAAACAAAACGCAATGTAACGTGCCAAGAAACCACCTTTACTCATGAGGACCCGAATGAGCCCCCTGTTATATCACCTGGAAGGGTCAGACATTTTAGCCTTACTTCAATCGGTAAGGACGGCGAGGGGGTAAAACGTGCAGTGACGAGTAAGAATAAAGCGAGACCATCAGACATTAACAAGAATAAAATAAGGCGGAATTATTCTGACCAAAACCTTGGTGACAGAAAAATGAGCCATAGTACTGATTCGGTGTCACCAAAAGCAATCAACGAGGAGAAGCAAATAAACGCTGAATATACAGCGAATGTTATGGACAAGAAACCACCAATTCCAAAACGGCCTTCTACATCCAATGGACTAAATAAAAAACAACTTGAAAAATTTCACAGAGAAACCACTAAGGTTTCAAGACAATTGTCAAACGATTCTCAATCAGACTATATTGGATCAGATGACGGGGAATATGATGATAGGATTATTACATGGCTCATGGGAGTTGATCGAGGCGTTGAGACACCTCCCGAAATCCCTATAGATTATGAAGAGAAGCAACAGACAGATACGGCAATTCATGTTGTATATGAAGAAAAGACCTGACCCAGATTTGCTCAATATGGCGACCAAAGTTAATGTAAGATCACCTATAGTAATGAGGGTGAAACGTAATGGACGCCATAGGTCTTTATATGCAAATCTTACAATTAATAGATGAGTTTGCGCTTTGGCAATCAGATGTTCTGTGTACATATTAATTTATCTTTAATATGTAAACATTGTCTTAAAAATGTAAATAGTTTGTTATAGAATACAACCAAACAATGGGTTAATGTATAACAAAACTAGTTTTAACTATCATCGGATAAGAAATAGCATGTTTCAAATCATTTGAAGTGTCTGTACACAAATTGAGAGATTGTGATAGGTTATCAGAACACGCCATTGTCCATTATACTGAATGCTAGTTTATCATCGTTTTAATTAAGTGTACGATTGTATTGACATTTTATATAGATATGCTGTTTATAAGATACTTCTCGTGTATATGAAAATTGCATGTACAAATTCAATGATAGATGTTTTTCTTAATATTTTTATATTCTATTGACATGAATATCTTTTTTTATGAAGTGATATATCATGTTTTATATTGTTGAAGGAAGGCGCAATGAACAAATCCGACTTGAGTCATGAAATTCAACCATATAAAGTCGAATTTTATAGATGATCAAATATAATGGCCAAGTTCGAATGTATAACTATTGCATTCTATCATAGACTCACTTAGAGACTTTATAGTGTAAGTATGTGATTCTAAGTTGATGTTCTTTTATTATGTCGCCAACCGAAAAAGAAAACCAAACCAAAGGAGATAATTCTTTGTACAGCAATCTCATATTCATAATGATCATATGTCTTTCAAATGTATATGATACTAGTCTACACGGACTTGAAGAAATGGAATTGAATCTTCCATTTATGTACTCTAGTGGCAAGGGCCTCTATTTTGCAACTAAAGGCGTTATATGTAAGCCACCATGTGTTCATTTTCTTCAGGTTCGTGGAGACTGGTCCTTGGGCATCACAGAATGAAATGAAAGATTATTAAATAAATTATTTTTGATTTTACATTAACATGCGTATTGTTATTTTGGATACTTTATGTTGAACGAATGTCTTTAGGCTATTTGTGTTTGACTGGCATAACTTCATGAGTTTTTTTGCTTTTCAACACAGAAATTTTCCATGGCCGGTCTTGTGGTTTTGGAGTGTGATAACACTAAGGGAATTCTTGAATGGGTTGATTTGACACAGTTTCTTCGTATGCTGGAGTATTTTTATGACCATTCTTTTTCTGCGCCATTGCTTCTTGTCTTCTCTCTGGTCATTGCTTACATATTTTCCTCGTGCTAATTCTCGTGCTGGTTCAAGTTCAAGAACGACTTTCCACAGAGTAAATAATATCGAATATAGAAAGGAAACTTATTATTCATGTTTAATTACCACCGAATCTGTAAGTACCTATTGTGCATTACTATTAAACTTTTACCTGGTCAATAGATATCATTCAAATATTAAGTGAACGAATACAAAGTAGCAATTCCATAACGAAATCAATAGTCACTGACTACAATAAGGACATGATTCCATTAAGTTATAATTAATTGAGGTACTAAGTACTCTAAGTACTTGATTTTGAAATGCATAAGTGGGAGTAAGATTCGGCAGAGAACAAAGGTCAGACAAAGCAGCACTATACTTGAAACGCTAAGAGCAGGGTATACAGGGTACAGGGTATACCAAAAAATACAACCCACAATATGTATAACTTTTTAACCTATAGAGTTAAACGGCACATCCATTTTGGCATAATTAAGCTTCATTCAATGTTATTAAGTTAACTGTAGCTTGTGTATGGGCCCAATTCACTGGCCATGCATCTTAAGAATCTGCTCCATTGCATTGTTAGGATGGGTTGCATTTTTGGTATACCCTATACTGTAATTCATCACGTGATCATGAGGTTCTGTCATTACAATCGAACTCATCATTGCTTCCATATTCAAACATAATCAGTGATGAATCAATTGATTGTCGCATGCGACCAGGAAACAAGTAGTCGGGTCTTAAAGATTAAACATAGCAATTCAGTTTCATTGAAATTGTTATTGACTTTTGGAATATAAGTAGTAAAGCATGTGATCCTTGTTCTGCACGTTTGTTTTACTGAATCTGATCGATCGGAAAGTATTATTTGTGCTGTAAGTTACTAATGGCTTTGCAAAACACAATGATTTCAAGTTCAAAAATCTAAAACAATGCAAATTGGCAGAACGATCGACTTATAAACGAACAAACATTAGGACATTTGCAAAAGCAAACCGTGGTAAAACTCGTTAAACTGAAACACCAGCATGGGCTTTGGTCAAATTCTATAAACACATCTGGTTTAATCTTAAAACTAAAAACAGAATTACCAAGAAGAATTCATAGTGGCTATTTATTGTTTATTGAATTTATGGCTTATATTTTGACCTCCCATGGCTTGCGTGGATTTGCTTATCCTTGGGCAATACTGATCGCGTGAAATGGTTCATTTAGTCAAAATCTACAATCTGAAAAGGATTTTCCATTTCAGAGCACATTTGTGAACCAATCGCTACTTACACTGTATAATTCTCAGAAACTCATACCAATAAAGAAACACCGCATACCTTCAGTCTGTTCATTCCCCTTTGCAACTTACGCTTACCCAACCAGCTTGATGCAAAGTTTGAATTTCAAGAGGAATGTTTTTGTTGAAGTCACAGTGATGGTAGGCAAATATATGTGAACGATGTTATGCCACAAATGATTATGCCATTGCCTTGTCATAAATAATTATAACACATTGTACTAAAATTAGCATGAATAACATTTCAAAAAAATAAACAAATTATTATTAATGGATGAATACATATGAATGCTCTAATATTTTTCAAACTTCCGCAGATATACAACTTAAGTCGATGATTTGGCTTTTGGAGGGAATCTGTCACTTGAATACCCAGGGCCTAATATTCAAAGAGGAGAATGTTTACAACAAACTCATCAATGGTGCAAGCTAATAGATATTCTGAATATCTCCAAATTTATAAGTAACAGATCATGTTTACATCCTCGGTCCAACAGAGGGCTCAATTCTTTCCATAGCTACTATAGCAGTGAAACAAGATCTTAAATGATACCTTTTTATACTCAGTTGGAAACCTGGATAAACTTGACATCTCTAGTATGATATTCAAATCCCGTACAACATAAAAGACATGTTTGATTCGAAGAGTGACTTCGAGATCATTTCAAATGAGATCAATAAAATGGGATTTATTTCGCCACAAAGTATCTTGAATTCGTTATTCGATTTATCAATGCATTGAAAAGATGTACTCTTGCTTAGAGTTTATTGCAATACATTGGAAATTGATTTTGGCCTTCTGAAAGTAAGCTATTTATGATTTTCTTAGAAGTTTTATAAATCAATTTCTTGCAATATAGTTAAGCATCATAATCTACGATAAGGACTATTCAATGTATGACTGTAAATGCTAACGTATGCCTTAACCAAATTAACTACATTGACCTACATACAATTTAACAATAGACACGAAGGGTTAGTTACAATAATTCTTCCGGTATTAGCTAATACTGACTTTAATATCAAAAGATCGTGATACAGCATAAAATCTAGATTTGTTCACACAAGTTTTCAAAAACGTATACCTTCAAATACTCGAGAATGAATATTCACATTACATTAATTTATGTTTCATTTAATAATCACCGTTTTCAAAATTAGAGTTTTAAGAATACATAAGTGCATCAAAATTATGTTATCAATGTGTCATCAAAAATAAAAAGGTTTTTGAGGGAGAACAAATTGGGGTCCTAAAAGGATGGTACAAGAAAATAAGATAACAAACTGTACACTAATTGTGCATTTATGTAATAAATGTAAATTTTTGTTCCGCCGTTGTCAATCGTATTATCTGAGTCAAAATAAGGCCAAGTATATTACAAAAGATAAAATCATTGGTAATCATCCCGTCGACGTAAAAACATGATCACACTACCCTACCACGTGACCACGTTTAAAAGGGAGACAGGGTACAGCTAAGTTGCAAATGGAGGACGTGGGTTTAATTCCATATTTCTGAACGTAAAATACATTTTACATTTATTTTTAGTGTTCTACCAGACATAGAATTAATTCATCAAGCAGTTTGTAGAATATTGTTGGCAAAAAACCACTATAGGCAAAGATAGATAATAGTGGGCGCAGTGAAGCAAAACTTAATGCAATACACGATACATTTCAGTAAATCTGTCAACGTACAGGGAGCATGTAAGTTTCCCTTCGAAAATGTTACATTGATATGTAACAAAACCCCAGTAAACTGTTATTTAAACTGCTTGTCATCGTGTTATATGTGGATACGTTTTCCAGTATGTTATTCAACTGTACTTTTGTGAATTAATTCTGAATTAATTGTCTTTCTAAAATCTTAAGATGCAAAATAGTCGTCCCAGAAATGTATCTTTACTTTGCCGTAAGGCATAACATATTGTGAAACATTTTTCCTCTTGTCACAAGGAGGATAATGTTTGTTTCGAGGTGTCTTGTGATGAGCGTTTCATGATTAAATGTAAAATCACTGGAGCAGATACCATCCAAAAACATCTGACATTCAACACGTCATATAAGACTACATCGATCTGGTATTAGTTTTTTACAATAATAGAGAAATACGACGTCATATCACCTCTACAGCAAATCGTGAAGAACAAAATGTCGTGGCATGATGGTATTTTGAACAAACTATTTTAAATGATCGGTTTTTGAGGACGGTAGTGAATTAGACCATTCAAGGGGTTATATACAAAGATTCTTTACATGACGTTCACGCAATTTTAATTATTCTGAATAGCGGATAGTAATTAATCCTGATAGCCAATAGTCATTTATCACTTACGTATTTATATTTAATTTCGTTATTTTATTTCAATTTGATACCCTAGTAACACGTATAATCTAGCGTTCTTGTTAATTTAATGACTAAAATGCATTTACGACCTGAAAGCCCATGTCTAAATCTACTAAATAATGTTTACTTTATTTGGATTAAATAACAATTGATGACACCTCAAAGCATCAACAGGCGGCCTTTTTAGTATTATTTTCACTGTTTGCAACGTAAATATACATGAGATCGGGACATAGTACGAGGCCCGATCAGAAAGTAAGTAACCAACTGCTCTCATTTCTTCATACTTTATTCAATCACATTCAAATTTTCACAGATGATGGAGAAAATATTACCCTATTAAAAAAGACCAAGGACAATGGGTTAGCGTCAATTCCATTGTTATTGCTGTTGCTATGGTGACAATTGTTTTCGGTAGGCGGGGCACCCTGTTTTAAGTGGCGTTTGAAGATAATTTGTACAGTTTTTCTATACGTTTTAATACCTCCAAATATATCAAATTCAAATGTAAGACTACATTTTAACACATAGTCCTTCAAATTAATCGCCACCAAAGTCAATGCAGTTGAGGCAATGTTTCACCCCGTCCTTAAAGAAGTGCAACATGGCACCATTCAATGACTGCAAACTGCCATTGAAAGCTTTAATGATGGTCTTATTGCTGTCCAAAAGGACTCTCCGTTACAACATCTTTGCATTTGGAAATAATTTAGTCACGTGGGGCCAGGTCTGGGGAATAGTGAGCCTGGGGTAGTTGTGTGGCCATGAAAAATGCTTTAATCTACTGTATCTTCGGTGATGTTGATTCTGTGGAGGTGGACCATTGTCATCATGGCAGTAAAGTCCCCCTTCAAAAACATTTGACTGGATTGAAACTGTGACTGAATCATGACCATCATTATGATAGATACACCCTTGATATCTTTGTGTTGATGACTTATAAATGAGACAATGGAGTTTTATTTTTTTATTTATTTATTTATTTTTTACCATTGTGATAATACATAGAACAAATTATTCAGTCTTACATAAAAAACGTTAGGTCATTTGGAGGAATACAGCATGTAAAAAACTCTACAAACCATCTTCCAAAGCCGCTTACAAAAGGGTGCCCACCTACCCAAAACAATAATCACCATAGCAACAGCCATAACAATGACATTGACGCTAACCCATTGTCCTTGGTCTTCTTTAATAGGTTAATATTTTCTACATCATCTGTGAAAATTTCAGTGTGATTGAATGAAGTATGAAAAAATGAGAGCAGTTGGTTACTTACTTTCTGATCGGGCCTCGTATGTCAGTATAATCAGCTTACTTTCTCGCTCCCTGTACTATTGAACAATTTACATTCCTT